GGAATTTTTTTTTTGGCATAGACAGCCGAAAAGAAACTTACAGCAATAGCCTCTGTCACGCTCTCCAGATGTTTATGCAAGTTTGAAACAGCAGTAGTCATACTACGCTTTGTCACATACATAAGATCTGAGAATTTTAGACCCTAACCATTTGTGAAGAGCAAATATTAGATTGTCAGTCCTTTATCTTCTATACTCACGAGTAAGGGAGCTAGTTTTGAAGGTGTTACCTCACAATTGTACTTCATAAAAAATTTGACATCATCATCGTCCTCAATCTTTATGTGCTTCCACTCATTCGAGGCCACCAAAACTGAGAATTTTAAGCTAACCTTGTCTTCCCTGCCGTTTGTATTACGAATCTGATGCACACGGTCCAACAGTTCAGCAAATTTGATGGTCCGTGGAACTATTAAGCCTTTTGACTCACCCCCTTCGTATTTGCACATCTTCTTCGAGGTGACCCATTTTCCATTGTAGCACACGAGAATAACAATTGTCTCCATTTCTGACCATGACAAAACAACATTTCATTAACACAATATAACCACAATAACCATACAATACAATAGCAATATAACAACAATATAAAAGCAATATAATAGCAATATAACATCAACATAACAGCAATACGACAGTAAAATAAGAGGAACACAACAGCAGTACACCAGTAACACATCAGCAATCACACTATACAGATCTACTACATCAAATGGAAAATCCCAAGTTTCAAGATTCACATATCCAGACCAATCTAACCCAAAGCAATTAAAGCCAAAACGAATTTATCACAAACCCAAACAATCAAAATATAACCCATTTCACATAATCCCACTGATTTTAAGAAAATAACCATCAACACTACCTTTTCGAGGTCGGCAATCCACTAAAGCTTCAAGGTTGCAAGCAGCTATACCTAAAGGGAGGGGTTCGCGATTCCAAACAGAGAGCAAGAGACCGAATAGAGGGAGAAAAAGACATAATGAAGCTAGAGAGAGAAAGAGATGCGCTATGAGAAAGAGAGCAAAGAGAGAGAGAGAGAGTTGCGCTAGAGAGAGAGAGAGCCAAGAGAGACACAAAGAGCTGCGTTAGACAGAAACCAAAGAGAAAGAGAGCTGTGCCAGAGAGAGAGAGAGCTGAGTGACCTAAGAGAGAACAAAATTTCTGAAGTTGTGAAAATTCAGCAATAAATGGACAATAATTTTATATTTATAGGTGATAGTTGTACAAATATTGGGGGGTGGTATTTTTAGTTAAGATTATAAAATTGGGGTATATACCGCTATTTCCCAACATTTTCAAGGGTTTCAAAAAAAATTTCGATCCGCCTCTTGCTTTCCTGTTTCTTCTTCGTTCTTCCTCTCTCAGTCTCTAGCCTCTGAGCCTCTCACTCTCTCAGACTCTCTCCAGATTTCACACGAATCACGATCTCAACCACTATCACTCTCTCTCTCTCTCTCACCCGCTCTCTCTAAGTGACTCAGTCTCTCTCTCAATCGCTCTCGCTCGCCTCTGCCTCTCTCGCTCTCTCTGTCTCTCGCTCAGCCACTATCGCTCTCTCTTAGTCATCAAAGGTCTCCCTCTCTAGATTTTTGTTGGTTTGAGGTAATAATATTTTGAAACCCTATTTCAAAATTTAAGGATTTTTGTTGATTTTTGTTAATTCTATTTATATATTCTGACTTTGCATATATATTTTTTTCTGGACAGAATTGATTTGAAGGCAAAGTTTTTCCAGATTGGCTTGCTGGCTGTGTTTATTTCTGGGATGGAATTGTTGCAGATATTGAGTAATAATTTAATTTGTATGATTGGTTGTTGTTTTGGTTGCTATATTTATTTTTGGTTGCTGTTTGAATAAGAGCTGCATTACCGTTGAAAATTGTTGTTGGTTTATACTTGTATTTGTTGCTGTTTTGTACTTTTATTTTTGTTGTTGTTTCAGTTGCTATAAGAATCATGAATTATGAGCATATAAGAACCTTGAGGAAACAAAAAGGTTGTTCTATTTCTAGCTTTTCAAGTTTGTCTGCAACAAGAATCTATAGTAAACAAATTCAGGGTATGCATTAATGAACTGAATTAATTACTAATTAACAGGTTGAAAACCAAGGATTAGCATGTGAACAAGTGGGGGATGAAAATGGATTAATTTTGGAACAGCAGTGTCTGATAAAAGTACGATAAAAAGGAGAGTACACATGCTATCATCCTACCAGGTCCAGCATGGAGAAAAACTCCTTTTGAGGAGTGTGGTTCAGGTAACATGGTCTTATTAATTATTTGCTAATTAAATCACTAATTTAGTAGTTAGATGTCCAAATCATTTTCTGGACAGAATTGTTGTTGGTTTATACTTGTATTTGTTGCTGTTTTGTACTTTTATTTTTGTTGCTGTTTCAGTTGCTATATGTATTTTGGTTGCTGCTTTATTTGCAATATTTGTATTTTGGTTTCTGTTGTATTTTGGCTTATTGTTTTTGGTTATTGAAGCATTAAATATTTTCATTTTCGTAGGGTATTATTAATTTCATGGAAGGAGAATCTGAAACCCCTGTTTCAACTAACCCACCACCACCACCACCACCAAGTCCACACTTGTGTCAAATATGAGCGACATCTACAATATAACCTGATGTAGCCGCTGCTGCATCTGTCATTTGAAACAAATAAAAGCTAGCTATTCTTGAACATACTGTAGATCCCTTCCACTAGCCCCGCGCCCAGAGCCAAACAGCTCTATTCTGTCATCTCAGTACAAAACTCATCCATCTCCGCCCTCTCCCTTCTTCATTTCTCTCAAGAATTCAAGAGCCTTGTCTCTCTTTCAACACATTCATGTGGGTTCATCTGTGTAAAGGCGCCAGATCCAGAAAACCTTCAACAAAATCACCATCCTCTGCGGCTTCGTCTAAGAGACCAATCGGATCCTTGCCGAGAACCGTTCCGACCCCAAAGACCCGGATGAGCGGATCCAGACCGAGATCAACCACAACACCACATACACTCTAAGTTCCCGAGCTTGGTTAACGGTAAGCCTCACGTTTTGCTTGTAATCGGGTCTCAATTGGGGGACCATTTTTTTTGTTGAAAGTAATTAGGAACAAGATTGATTATTGTAGACTTCATGGCTCGATCTGTAGTGGCTAACTAAACAACTTCGTTTGACGGAAGCAGCAATTTTTGCTTCAGTTCATGTTGAATTTGCACGATAATATCGATCCCGATATTTGGGCGATATTTTCGACATTTTGACGAAATGTAACTGGTTTGTTCCCAAAATATCGGCAGTCAAAAAAACCGATATTATCGCCGAAATCGAAACGACGTCGTTTCATTACAATAAACCTAAAAAGAAAACACGCGAGTCGTCTTCCTCGCAGAGTCGCTGCTAATTTGCAGACTCGCAAAATTTCTTCCGGTTCAGAAGTGTCCAGATCTGGCTCGCTCCGCCTGGCCACGCCTTGCAACGCCTCCTTACGCCTTCCCAGCGCTAAACGTGCAACTCTCGAAACAGCTGACCGCCTCGAGCGATTTCCTGCCGCCTCGCTCCGACGGGCTCGCCGACGCGCGCGAAGGCATGCCTTTAAAAACACTGATTTCTATATGATTAGATATTAATGTATTTACATATATACTAGATTTTTATACGTTTAGGGGCAACATTTGAGGAGAGTGAGTTATAATGCTCGTTGAGGGGGGCTATTTTCTTTGGGAGTTTCACTAAAACACCCAAAATAGGGGCTGAAATTATAAAAAAACCCAACACCCAAAACACTTTATAAACACACCCAAAACCCATCATTACACACACTCAAAACCCATTTATAAACACACCCAAAAAATATACAATTGTTGATTTTGGGGTTGATTTTGGGTGTGTTTCTATGTTTAAATAGTGTGTGGGTTTTTTTATAAATACATGTCTAGGATTGGGTTTATTTATAATAATCTAATTTTCTTTTTATAAATTTTATTTCCTGTTTTGATTAATTTTCTGTATTGAATTGATAATTAACCTTGGATGTCATTTCCTTGTTTTATTTTGATGTTTGCAATTTTTTGTGTGCAATTTCCCTGCAACTTTGTGTTTGATTAGCTGATTCAATACTTCTTCATTTTGAATCCACTTTTTGTTGTTGGTTTGCATTGTAATTCCTAGGTGTTATTGTTTGTCTTAAATGTTGGCTCTACTCAAATTCGTATCTTTAATGTTATTGTTTTTCTTTTTCTGCTAGAATTCAGACATGGGTAAAGAGGAAGGCCCAAAAACCACAAGGAGAACAACCAGATCCTCCGCTGCAGCTACCCCTTCAAAGAATGTAGTTGACGAAACTAATGCAAGTAGTTCTCAGCCGCCAACTCTCAGTGACCTTGTGCTTGGAGAAGAAGGAGAATCCTTTAGCTTGGATGATCTGTTGTCTAGTTTTCCTGGTAGATGTAATCAGATCCAGGAGCTTCTACAACTTCTGGGCCCACGGAACTCTCCCATGCTTCCTATCTTTGTATATGGAGTCACTTCTACCGGGAAAACTAGTATGGTACTAGAGACATTTAGGCATCTTAAACGTCCTTTTGTTTATTCAAGCTGCCTTAGCTGTTATAATCCCCGAATCTTGTTCGAGTCTGTTTTGAATCAACTGTTTCTTCACCGAAAGAATGCTGTAAATGGTTATTCAAGTGCAAAGCACTGTGAAAGCCCATCTGATTTTGTTAATTTTCTTCGCGAAGCCTTGGTTAGCATTCTTGGTAATCTTGAGGGAAACTCGGGGAAATTAAGCTGCAAAATGTCCGGAAAGGCTAATGGAAATATGATCTACTTGATATTTGACAATTTGGAGCGTGTCAGAGGATGGGAAAAAGGTTCTACCATATTACCTTTACTATTTAATCTCTATGACATTCTGAAAATGCCTGAGGTCGCTCTTATCTTTATTAGCAGTGCCTCACCGGATACATATTACTCAAGTATGGGTTATGTGGAGCCTATCCCTATATATCTTCCTGATTATACTCAAGATGATCTTCAGCAAATCTTCTTGAGAAACCAAGCAAACAAAAAGCTTTATGCCTCTTTTCTCAGGTAAGAATAATAGTTAGTCTTTTTTCTCTGCACTCATGTTTTGCCTTTTGTGTTTATGTTGATGAATTCCCTTTTCTTTCTGTTAGTGTCGTGCTAAGGCCTTTCTGTAGAATTACCAGACGGGTGGATGAATTGTCTCCTGCCTTCTCACTATTATTCACAAAATATTGTGAGCCTGTAACAAATCTGGGTGTTGTTCCCAATAAAGAGTTGAACCAAAGGCTGTTTCATTATTTTCGGCCCCATGTTGCTCCTTCACTGAATGAGATATTTAAGGTTTCATCTCATCCATCCACTGAAGTTGAAGTTAGGGAGACAAGGAAAGGGCAGCACAAGGAAATTTGGAGATTGCGAGGTTGATCAATTAGATTTCCATATGCCTACTTCTGCCAAGTATCTCCTTATTTCAGCATTCCTTGCTTCAAGAAACCCAGCTACCCTTGATGCATCATTGTTCGATTCCACAGGAGGTTCTAATAGTCGAAAACGAAGGAGGAAGTAAGTGTATATCAAGAATAATTCTTGTTTTAATGTAGTTTATACTCTATAGGTTTAGTTGGTGAAATTCGGGCTTTGTATACAAACTCTAGCTTTGTATTCCATGCTATCATAAAAGTTAATACCGCATTAATATTGTCAATATAAGATCTGAAATTCCAAATTCCGGCAGGAAACCAAGGTAAAACTTAAGTACTTTCTAAAGAATGAAGATAACTATCTGTCCAAACACCTGCTTCTGTTTTACCTTCACCTCACTATATTGATAACGAATACTTGAGTTGCTCTTTCTATTATGTTGTTTGGAAAGACCTGTAATTAAAATTTCTGACATCAATTACGAATATTGTTTTACTGCACTTTCGCAGTGGAGTGGTGGGAAATTCTTAAGATTCTCTTTACAAATTGTCTTCAAACAAAAATCTCTGAAAGATCTTATTAAGATTTGCCAATTGACTACCTTTGCACCTTATGCTTTTCTTTCACTTGTTGGTATGCTGCAATGCACCACTTGTAAACACTGATTTCCTCTTAATAATGTTTCTTCATGACTAGGGCCTCCGAGAAGTCAATGGAACAGAAGGAAACTGCAGAACAGGAATTACTTCTGAATCCTGGAACATTTCCAATGGAGAGGCTATTAGCCATATTTCAGTGTATTACATCTGTAGGGGAAGGTTCTCTTGATGAGGAGGAAGAAGGATACGATGGGTTAGGCATTCGAAATGGGAATGGTGGGCTCATGTCCGATGTTCTCTTACAACTGTCCAGTCTCTGCAGGGCTAATTTTATTGTCACCGGTGGAAGCTGCCCACTAGAGGGCTCAACTCGATATCGATCTACAGTGAGTGAAGATATGGTTCTGAAGGTAACCTTAACACTTTTCTCAAATTGAAATTATACCAAAATTTTATGTCGTGTAAGATTAAGGAATTCTTTTGGAAATATAACATCTTGTTTATACATGGATTACAGGTAGCAAGGAGCATTAAGTTTCCTCTCTCAAAGTATATATACAGATAATTTGCTTGTTTGGTGAGGTATTTGTGATATGGTTGCCGATTCATTCTCCAGGATAAAGAAAATTCTCAAGCAGGAGGGTCAGATTGCCTCTGGTTTTCAACTAACATAGCCTCTACCGTGTTAAACCATCACTCCAAATTCTCTGATCCTCATATTTGTTGAGCAA